AGAAAAAACTAAAAAGAAAATCGAACCCAAGCTACAGCGGTGGGGGACGAGTGCTCTCAACGCCTGTGCCAAAAAACGTACTTGTTCTTTCTATTCAATTGCTCTACAATTTTATACCATCTCACTTATTAGGATAACCAACAAGATACGGATGCAGAGCCAGAGAATTATACATAGCTAATAATATAAAGTGGGAATGACTGACAAAGAAAGGGAATTGGTGAATGGTTTCGGTAAAATAGGAAGCGAGTCCGGGAGGCAAGGGGGGGGGGCGGCTGCTTAGGTCAATTTGTGTTTTATAGTCTATTCTTAGGCAAATTATGGACCTCGTCTTGATCAACTTTGGGTAAATTCAATTTTTGCGATCGCAACTTTGTCAAGGACAGAATATAATGCAAGCGGATTGTTAGACATCAAAACCACAGCTCGAAATACGGTGACATTTTTTACCACAAATCTTGTCGTTTTTAAATCCCTACCCAAAGAGCGAACCCTCTCTAGTAATTCTGCAAAAAATGCACGCCCATTATAGTGAATACAGTCATGAAAATGCGACACCATCTAGCGTCACAGCCCCATAAGCCTATTACTAGGAAGTACCCCAGATCCCCCCTCTCCCACCCCCACGCGAGTTTTGGGGAGTGATTTTGACTAATTACCACTGTCCGGCTAGTACAACCTACTCAGTTAGATTATTCATTCAATTCACGGTCTTTGTAACATAATGCCATAAATAATTCGATTTGTAGTCAATCTTTGTAAAAGTTGTACCATTTAACACATAATTATTATTTTCTATCTTGTGGCTTGATGTAAGATTTTTGCGTGGTTCTAACCAAATTTGTCCATTCCGCTCAATTATGTACAGTTCAGTGGTAACTCTTGTTAATCTGCTGCTTTGGCATCCATCTCAAAACTATTTAATTCTAGATCCATCATTTTAAGCCATTGATTACAAAGTAACATCACGATTATCTAATTTCTTTAATCAGTTTATCATCGACTTTCAAATTTGTTAATTCTTGAAGCTTGAAAGATAGTTAAATCTAAGAGTTTTATACGAGTATTTAAAGGAGACAAAATACGCAAGAATAAATATAGGATATTCCTGCGTAAGATTAAATCTAAGCCATAAGAAATTCAATTTTCATAATCTGAATACCACATCGTCTTGAACAATTCTGAGCTTAAACCAGTGTCGGTATCACAGCAAAAATCTGAAGCTCGCTATGTTTGGCGATCTGATTTCAAACTGTAAGCCCATGTCTTTGTTTATTGCATCAGTACATACACCCAAATTAACCTGAAGCAAATTATCTTAAACTTAATAAAAAAATAAGTTGGCCGACATCTTGCGGTTAAGTTGTTATAAACGAAACTCACGGACGCAGATCTCACTCCGTCGCGGCAGCTGATTTCGGAAACCTTTGAAATGGAGAGCTGCTTTTCACACGTAGGTCTCTAGGCTCAAAATTCATAAAAAAATAATTACATGTCAGTTCTTAGTTACACGCCGCTCCATACCACCAATTATAATTTCAGGCGGCGATAATCGCTAAAATCCTCCAATCTAACACTGAATTACGTGTTAATTTATCTCAATACATTCATCACGTCAGATATACCAGACTTGCTTCCCACAATGACAGAAGGTATTAGTTAGGCTGGCGAGTTTATTTAGTTTTGCTGGTTTAAAAGTCTCCTTTCAAACAACAGACTCAAGTTGAACGTGAGTATTGAAATACATAATCAGCATTTTTTTCTTATGAAGTTCGTTATTCGATAATTTTCATATGTAGAGCTAAAATAATATTCGTCGAGTGACTACTGAAAAACATTTTAAGAAACACGATAGTTTATTATATTTATTTTTTTGAGTTTATTTTTTATTTAACGCTGATTTCTTCAAGAAATTTAATGTGAGTTCTATGAATTCTTTCTCGGGTCTAATGTCCTCAAACTTGACATAAGTCGCACAAAAAAAATATTTCTGGCAAAACATGGAGTCATCTTGCCAACAATAGGTTAACACTTTCAAGCTTGTCTCTTAAGTCGTTTTTCAGTCTTGGACCTCAAACACAAGATACTGTCTGATAATAACATCGCTTTTTTCGAGTTAGCTGTTTCTTTCTCTTTGTTTCTCGACAAAGTTGATCCATGGACATTTCTGGTCAACGTAAAGTGCTGACTTAAACTGAAAACAAAAGATGGAATAGAAGCGGGTGTCTTCTATCAAATACTGTACTTATATGAATTATTCAAGTTTACGTTTTTCATAAGTAAAGTCGCGCTCTAATTTCGCTTGCCTCTGAATTAAATCTACCTAAAAAGAAAATAATGCTCTTGTTAAACCATGAAGTCAAAATTAGTCCAGAAAAAGGAAGCAGGCCGATTATAATCTTTGACGAAGTTTATTCCCTTGAAACATTATTTTTTGTTGTGACGTTTTGCAATATTTTGTTACATTGTTGTCTGAACACAATGTCAGATCGTGTTTAATCATAGTGGCATAATTAGTGTTCGGGATCTTCAAAGTTAATATGCAGGTAGAGCTACTTGTCATTACCTGGCTTCGTAATGGGACTTTCTCATTTTATTTCCCTTCATTTTAATTGGTTATCAAGGTGTAAAGTCATCACGATATCGCGAGTCTGTCTGTCTTTCGTAACATTACCACGGCAACAGAAACGAAAATGCATTACAAAAACAAGCAATCTTTGCCGTAAGAAATTATACCATAAAAATGCTACGTAACGATAAGGATAAATGTCCTTTATTTTTCAAATAAAACAGATAAAACACACTCGGCATGTCGCCTTTTACGAGAAAGAAGAACACCGTACGCGAGTGTTTTATCAAATACATCACATTATGTCTTTTACAACTGATTCATTCAAAATGTCGGCAGGTGTCTCAAATGAAGTTAATTTTACTCCGTAAATATTTTCGGGCTGCAAAATTTCATAACTTGATTTAAAGTTAGCCTCTAACTAATTTCATTGTATGAACATTTTAATTTTTTTTTTAACTTCATTCTCCTTATGAAATATATAACCCTTCCTTCAATAGACACATCTGAAAAACGAAGGCTAAAAAATCAAAACAACAACCACAATTTTAACCACAGGAACTTTATGTCAGCAAAAAAAACAAAACAAAAGAAATTAAATGTAAATAGAGACTTTCTTTATCAGATGGTATTAAAAACATTTTCTTTTAGCCAAGCGCTTCTTCAGGTAAGAAACTGAAATTCTAAATTTAAAACAAAAATTACAGACGTTCTTATGTTTTTGACATTTTTACCGAGACTGTCTTCATTTCGTTTGTAATCGTTGTTTTAAGCAGTTTTTTTGCACTGCTTGCCAAGAGGGAAATTCAGAGGACGAGTTTACTGTTATTCCGTCAGCTATTTTGCAGTTATACTATGTTATCTAAGAAAGATTCGTCGCACCTTGAAAATGATTGAGAACTTGGGTGCTATGTAAGGATTTTAAGAATTGACTTGATAGCATTTTGATAAAAGAGAAACGGCTTAACTTTTGACACACTGATTCAAGATATAATTTTTGTCGAGATAAATTACATTCAACTATCTTCGGTAAGTATTCCCAAGAGCAATCTTCTTCTAGTGTTGGTAATCCTTTTAAAATAATTTTAAATTTACTATATTGCCGCCTTGACGGAGGAGCAAAATCATATTTCGGTTGTTGGAAGTTGATCGGTGTTTCAAAAGCTAGGTGTTAACAAGGTTAAATTCTCGTTCTGTATATAGTTGGGATATTTTCACGCAAACTCTTCACTTCATGACTGCGATATTTCATGTCTTTGGCAAATTGTCGGCGGACTGAGAAATTGTGTTTAAACGGAGGCTTCTAATATAAATTTTTGTTGTTTTCATTGTGCATCAATCAAACTCCCAAAAACGTATTCCCAAGGAGATTACTTCCTTTCATGATTTTAATCTTTTGTTGGTGGTAAAAACAAACAGATTTCCATTCAATGAATTACAGCATCAAACGAAACACAACAGCGCATACTGATGGTCGTAATTTGACAGAAAGCGAGCAAAAATGAAGCATTATTTTAAAAGTTTTCCATATAGGTAAGAAATTGGCTCTCATTGTGTGAGTAAATATGTTGTACAAAGATTCTGTAAGTAAGACAACTTTGAGTTGTGCTGAGACATTGGTGCTTACATTGAGGCAAATAGAATTGGCATTTGTTGTTGTTTTCGGGCAAGGGCTGTGGAGCAAATATAACTGTAAATCAGAGAATGCGCGCAGAGGTTGTGACATCTGATTTTGAACGCTGTGAGCATACTTTTTGCCAAAAGTTTCACTAATCATTACACATCGGTATAACCTAAAAATCAACATACCGTGTCGTGCTGTGCGATCGTCGCTGCGAGCAATAACGCTTGACATGATAGTTACTTTCCGTACAAATACGATATCTATTCCATCAATTTGACTCATGATTATGATTTCTAAGCATTTGGTGAACGGACATTACATTTCTCTCAAATCATGGTAAAATCGTGATGTACTTTATATAGATCAAACTCAAAATGAAGTTACGTTTGCGTGTAAACAATGATATGAATTGATTTCATTTCGTGTATTCAAATCGATTTCATTGCTACTCTGCATCGAAACAGAAGCTGGGTTCATTCTTTCAACAGTTGGAAAAAATAAAAAATCGATACAAATTACATCATTGTCTTCCGCTTGATCCGCCAGCTCTCTCAATTCCGACTCTACTGGGCATAAAAATATTGTACCAAAGGACAAACGAGAAAGTGCGATCAAATTAGTAAAATTAGGCTTGATTTGAACCAAAAAAAAACATCAGAACAAAAAAATACAAAACATCTTTATCGAGTGAATATTTTTCCTAGCAAGAGCATCTATTAATAATTCTTTAATCGTTCTTTGTCTATATTCGCAGGGATCAAGTGAAAGAAACTCAGAGAATCAACTAAATTTCTTCAAAATCTGAACATGCCTGTGACAACGAGGAATTCTTCATTTCACAACTTTTCATCCAAGGATGGATTCCAAGATTTTACCCTCGACACAAATATGAAAGTGATATTCTTCTTCCTGGGTTTCGTTGCCTTTCTAATCATCATTGCCAATGGTCTTGTCTTTGTGTTGGCTTGGAATATGAAGTATCTCCGCACCAGAACAAACTTCTTTCTTTTCAGCTTAGCAGCAAGTGATTTGCTCTCAGGTGCAGTGGTTGTTCCACTCGTTCTATCGTGTAACATTGTAACGGTCAATCAGTCGCTTTGTATCGCTATGGATATCTGTCAGCGGGGTTTAGCCATCTCGACGATACTGCATCTTTCGTCCGCAGTCATCGAACGATATTTGAAGATATCTTCGCCTTTTAGGTACACGTCTATTGTCACCAAGCCTCGAATTTCTTGTGTGTTAATTTCCATCTGGATATTAGCCATGTCTGTGTCTCTTTCTCAGTTGTTTATCATCTCTTCGCAAGACGTTACTAAAGCTTACCTCGTCTACAACACAACAGTTCTTTCACTGTTTGTGTTTGTGCCATTCTTCATCACAGTTTTGGCTTTCATTCGCATTTATTTCATCATGAAACAGAGTAAAAAATCAAGAATGAGGCTGACCATTACTGTAAGAGAAAATACAACAAACTCGACGCAACGAAAGAAAAGAGTGAACACCAAAAGATCATTGATAGTGTACCTTGCTATGTTGTTGTGTTTTGTTTTCGCTTGGTTTCCTTATTTTTTTCTGACGCTCCTGATAGACTTGGATAATTCAGTAGAGATGAGTATCCCTCATTGGATGAACGCTTTGTTTTTATTTCTAAAGGTCAGCTCTGCTCTATTCAATCCACTTTTATTTACTTTTTTTAAAGCAGATTTTCAAAAAGCGCTCAATCAAATGACCTCCGGAAAGCTTTGCAAACAAGTTGCTAATACACAGGATGAAAGTGCGCGAAAAAGATTTGGATCTAATTCCATGCAGACCAACCAAACCCATCTTCAGCACAAGACATTTGAGATAGAAGAACCGAAATCTTTAATTATCAATCACCTGACAAGATAACTGTATGCTGGAACGCTGTCCTCCTTCCTTCGTCCTTCGTGCTTTCTCCTTGCTAAAGCGTAGTGCGTAGGGAATGTTTAGAAATGTCTTATTTTCAGCCAATAAATCGTAACGAAATAATTAACAATTGGTTCATATGTCAGCGTGCGTTCATCGAGATATGAAACACGCGGGAAATTTGGAGAGCACGAAAGATGCGTAAGAGTTGCTCGAGGCGTAGCCGAGAGTAACTCTAGCTTCTTGAGCGCTCTCCAAACTTCCCAAGTGCTTCATATCTCGATGAATGCACAGCTGACATATGAACCAATTGTTTTATAACATTTTCAACCCGAAGGAAAATTTTTTCTTGAGGGATTTGTTTGCTGACGTCATAAGCGTGCAAAATAGGAATGTGAAGCACGCTCGCGCAATTGAATTTGATTAGACAAATTTACTAGCTATGTTATAAATTAAATTGGGGATTTAGTTGAGTTGGGCCAGGGTACTTCCCTTACCCACAAGACACAAATGTTTAAGCATCTTGAGACTCGTACAAGTTTTGCAAGTCTCTTAGACTACCAGCAACAATTATGGACCTTTACAGATTCGGTAGACTGTATTGAGTAATTTTTCTGCAATCGGACACTAATACACTGCCATGTGATTATGCTTGTCTAATGGTGCATGCAGTTAGCTTAGCTTTACTTTCTTGTTTTAAGTTTTTGACCTAACTATGTAAAAGATATATTTTCTTTGATTTGGCTGCCTGGAATTTTTAACCCTCAGGTTACTTCAGGTAGCTATTCTTATCATTGTTGTTTTTTCTCTTCATGTAATATCATAAAATCTTTCACATTCAAGCTTTGGGGTAAAATAAAGTTATTTAATATTATAGGTCATCTGATGCTCAACATTTTAGCTACAGCTTGATGGTAACTAAGCCATGTCCCACTCTCGTGACAAGAAAAACAACTTCATTATTTCAAGATCAACCTCAATATTTACCATCTTTGTAATATACTGCATTGCAAGGATGGTAAATATTGTGGTTGATCTGTGCTGGGGTCTCTGTGGCTCAGTAGGATAAAAGCAACCCTTATAGGAAGAGCAAAATTCAAAAATCTGGGGTTGGATTCCTATAAGGACACTCATATGGTAGCCATGTTTTGCGCTGGTGATAAAAAGAATAGTATCTTTCGTGAATACTTTGAGTATTTCTAAAGATTCATTGGTTTAAGCTGGAGTAATGAGCAACTCTCCACGGCGGTCAAATTACAATATCATCTCAGTTGATAAAACCAAATTGTCTTGTCATACTCCCCACCCCACCCCACCCCCACGCAAAACCACAGATTCTTTAGTTTCTTTAGAAACTTACCCCCTTTATTGAGTTTCTATGTTAGTTATTTGTCAGAACATCGTCAGTTTGTAACTACATTCTGAAACAATGAAGCACTTTGTTAGACCCTGTAAAAAGATTTGACTTACTGAAAAGCCCGCACGGGACTCAAAAACATGTTTGACCGCAATGCATTAGAATTTTAAGGGTAGCTTTGCAAATGAGGTTTCAGTACGCATTGGATTAATTGTTCCATTCAATTCAGAGATCTTAAAGGGTCAAAAAATTTTAATTATTCGAGAACATTACCCAACAAAATCAACGCTATCTATAATCTAAACGGAAAAAAATAACTTAAAGACAAGATAAGAATTCAGCCAAATGAAAGGTTAGGAAACAAAGGTTAGGCATAAACAAATGAGCTTACCTATCTCCTGTTTAGTGTTTTCCATTTCTTCAATATCATCTTTGAATTCAACGTGGGCACCTAGAACGAATTAAAATTTTTGTTAAAAAAAAAAGGAACAATCTCCGCCCTGTCTAACCCGAGGCAACTGATTTAATTGTAAATTGGCCAATTTAATATTACATAATTTTCCTCTAAAAGGAAATGTGGAAATATAAATCTCTTCAGCCTTGATTAACCAATCATAAGAGTAAAGTTTAAAATCAAACGAGATTTAAGCACTAAACTTTTCCCCCTCTTCAACTTATAAATAAGAATAAATGAACCACAATGATGTTATTGAAGTATTAAATTCCTGTGCTGAAAGTGTTAAAGGTAATAATGATGTTGAACTCTGGAGGCAGGGGAAATATTTTCAGCAGCAGCGTTATTCTCGTGCGTATAGAGTGGTTCTCTAAGGTGAATATATTTGAGCAAATTGCTCTGTTTCTTTTTCTCGTTTTTCTGTTTGTTGAACATAATTTAGTAAAGATTAATACTTTCTTTGTTTAAAAGTTGATATAAAATAATATTATTAGTAGTAACCACCGAATGAAAAGCAATTGAGTGTGAGTACTAGTTCGGCCAGACAGAGTAGTGTTTCAGAGCTAGGTTCCTTAACAGTGCGACGATCGAAAGAATGTCTGAGGGCCCGGAGACCTTCGTCATTGGGAATGACAGTATACAGAGATGTTATATCCATAGTAAAAATAAGTTTGTTTTGGCCGAGGAAACTAAAGTCAGGGAAAATTTCAAGTGCGTGTTGGCTGTCCTTAATGTAAGACGGTAAAAAGTAAATAAACGAAGTTCTAGGAGTGGTAATGATGAGATTTTTAGCAGTGGCCGGCAATTCTTGTTTAGCTATAAGTGAGATCTTTGTCGACTTTAGCATAAAAGGAGGTAGAGGTCAGCCCGCCAAACAACAACTGCGCCGCCTTTGTCGGCCGCTTTAATGACTATGTCTTTGCGTTTTTTAAGACTTTTTAGTGCCGACCATTCTTCCGAAGAAAGATTGGAAAATTTGGTGTGACGATTCAATTTAAGTTTGTTGATGTCGTGGCGACATTTTTTGATGAATAAATCTAAAGATGCGAACTGGCCCTCTGGGGGAGTCCATTTAGACTTTCGAATCTAAAGTGTTTCGAAAGTATCTTTGTTCTAGATGTTAGAATCATCCTCTTTGTTGTTGAAAAATTACTTCGCCGCGTTCAATTGAAAGCCTTTTTTCATGAGAACAAACTGAAAAAACGGCTGGCTCACACTCTTGTATCGTTGGGCTCAGTTTGCGCAGTAGAATGAAGATGTACAAAAAGTAGATGTTCTAGAACTGTGCGCTCTGTTTTATTTTGTTGTGGATCATTCAAGATGTTATTGAGATGATCCATGCTAACAAGTGTGTAATATTTTTATATCAACTAGCGTTTAAAAATTGGAAAGAATTTAAGGGGAATTGGCGAAGCAAGACAGAGAGAAGGAAGACATCTTTATGTCGTTCTTCATGGGACAAGTAATTCCTATAATATGGTGTGAATAAATACCAATTAATACTAATCAATTTGTTAAGTTTTTGTATCAGTAACAATGGCTCGAATCGGATTTGCTCGTAGCGGTACTCAAAAGGTACAATCGGACGAGATAAATCGCCGGAACAATTAAAAAACCGCTGAAAAAGTAAGTTGCTTTCCACCATCTTGGCAGCAAAAAGTATCTTGAACCCGAGCTGATAAATCTTGCTAAGGTGTATATAGTTTTGTTGGTGTGGTCAGTTTATTTTTTGTGGATTATGGATGTAGTCATTGTACATGTTGGTTGTTAGCTTGATGAAGTGGGTGTAGCGTGTGTAGCTTGTTGTAAAATGGTTAAGTTGGAGCAGTTTAGTAAAGTTTAGTGTAAATTGATTGACCTGAGCTACAATTTAGTGTGATGTACTTGGGCTTACTATGGGGAAGTATTTGTACAGACTTTGACATTTCGAATTTGCTTACCTTCGGTGAGTGGGTGTTTCCCACGGAATCACAGTTGGACTGATTGGACGTTCTCGTGGTGCGTCGCTGCAATTGATGATTCTTTGAAAGTCTGTTCTATTTACAGAAAAGTATTTGGAGCCGTCTGGACGGCAAAAGATGAATGACTTATTGTTTCACTTATCATGAAAGAGGATCATGGGCGTGTAAGTATATGTTACAAACATTAATATCACAAAGGACTCTCTCAACAAAAAGAGTTTGCCATTAATACTGGTAAGAAAATTCGACTATCTTTTGTGTAGTTAGGATAAACAATTTTAGTTTTTGATAAATGGTTTTGAATTACTTTCTACAAAGTAGATTTGAAAAGGAACATTGTTGGTGTATGTAAGAATATCAGTAACTAATGAAACATCGAAGTCAGAAAAACAACAGTTTTATGATATTGTGAACTTTTCCTCGCTAATTCACCAAAGATAAACATTTAGACATTGCGTCGTCAATCTATACCAATTTTCATATCATTATCATTTTTTAACAATGTTATCGTTGTTGTCCTTCAAGTAAAGAAATTTCTTAGCAGCTGAATTGTAAAAAAGAAGCCTGAAATTCGGATTATTCGGATTACTTATGATTGTTTGTTCGTGTCGATGAGTGATGCAAATATGCTTACCTTCGGTGAGTGGGTATTTCCTACGGAATCACGGTTGAACTGATTCGACGTTCTCGTGGTGCTTCGCTGCAATTGATGATTCTTGGAAAGTCTGTTTTATTTACAGAAAAGTACTTAGAACCGTTTCGACGGCAAAAGATGAATGACTTATCGTTTCACTTAACCATTAACATCACAAAGGACTCTCTCAACAAAAAGAGTTTGCCATTAACGCTGATAAGAAAATTCGATTATCTTTTGTGTAGTTAAGATAAACCATTATAGTTTCTGATAACTTGTAAAGAATTGCGGTCTGCAAAGAGGATTTGAAAAGAAACACTGTTGGTGTTAGTTAACTAATGAAACATGAAGTCAGAAAAACAGTAGTTTTTATGATATTGTGAAATTTTTCTCGCTAATTCACCAAAGATAAACATTTAGATATTGCGTCGTCAATCTATACTAATTTTCATATCATAATATTTTTATCAATGTTATCGTTATTATCCTTCAAGTAAAGAACTTTCCTAGCAGGTGATTTGTAATGAAAGTAACTGCAAAAAAGAAGCCTGAAAATAATCCCGGTCTGGACACGATTCGAACAAGTGTCTTCCGGAA